ACATATAGACATCAAGGTGAAAATGGGAGAAAATTAAAGCAAAGTAATTTTTTAGCTAAGATGGTTGAATTTTATGTTATTAAATAGATATATTCACACCTAACTTAAATTCACAATAGTTTTCAAAATTATCACCTCCTCAAACCCTTCCTCAATCCACTGTAATCAATTCTTCTAAATTTAGCTCCACACATCTCTTTAAGAAAACTTTCTTTTATACCAGAGTAAAAAACAATAAAAGCAAAGTGGATTATAATAAAGTAGGGATTTCATTCATATATAAATGTGTACATTCATTGGCTTTGTGGTCACCCTGAATATTAAATAAACTCTTGAACTTCATAGTGCAGCTGCCTGGGAATCATATTTCTGCTATATGCAATGACTTTTGGAGATGTTTTTAGGCGTTGCTATATAAAGGTTTGAACATTCTGATATAGACATTATACAAGTGAGTCAGCTGAGACTGAATCACCCTGATACATGCAATCAAACTCAATGGATCTGTCTTTTGAGTTTGGGATGCTCTTCTATGATACTTTTGAGCCTATTTGGCGGGTAGTGGTGAGATTTCAATCTTCAATAATAAGTCAAAATTAACAAGTTTTGTAATGTTTTTGACTTTTTTTTCTTGACAGAAAAAGGATTTAAATGAAAAAAAATTGCAGGGACTGTGTGTGGGGGTGATTAACATAATGCCAGCCTGCGGGAGGGCTTTTGCGTATTCGCATGCACAAAGTTTTCTCCTCTGTGAATCCAGAAACACAGAGTTGTTCTGACTTGAGGTGGCTTCTCCTAGACTGTTAATCACACTCCTCTCCTCCTACAGGTCTTTGAAGGGGTGGCACAGAACCATCTAAAATAACTTTATGCTAACAAAGAATTTCTCCAAGGAAGGCATCTCTTGTTTCACTACTGGGGGTAAATCCACAATCCTCTTGTGCTCCTTCTTGTGTGTCACAAAGGGCACATTAGCATGGATCCATGAACAGCTTTCACAAATAACATTACATAAATCTGATAGAAAGGAAACAACTCATACAGTGTATAATTATTCTTTCCATAGTCCTCTAGAATTGTTTCATCTCATACATTTTATTCTCATTTTGTTGTACATTCCTCATCATGGTTATTAGGCTTTAAGATACCCTTGACAAATATATAAAGGGCAATACTCTTCACTGGCATCAAATTGTGTTTAGATTTTTTGAGTTAGTAGGTAATGTACCAGTAAAAGAATAATTAATTCCTGAAGGACTGAGCACAAAAGCAAGCATACATTTGTCTGAGAAAGTGAGAAGTTTGACTAAACAGGATGTTTATGAATTATCATGCTGTCATCCAACTGGATCAGTAGGCTTTTTTCATGTTGTTTACTAAATGCCATGCAAATTAAGAGAGAAATGGGTCACACAGTTCCAGAATTAACTGATGATGGTTTGGAGATCTTTTTTTCCCATTAATTCAAGCTTTTGATAATTATAAGGTACAATCATCATAATGTAAAATGCCTTAGATTTATAGACTCTTTGGGTTTTTTATATCCTGTATCATATTCCTGTAAAGACATCTCTTGCAACTGTATGTGGAGTAATTTATCCTCAAGGTGGACAATGTCAAAGAATATAGGAATCTCTTGTAAAATTTGCCTGAGTTGATTCATAAGTATCAAGTCATGATTTTAGAACAGAATTAGTGAATCCATCCAGCAAGATTATTATTTCAGCTATTGGAAATCTATTTAAAAGAAGTTATTAATTAGTACGTATTACCCTATGATCTGGGGCAAACTTCTGTTTCTTTAAGGCATGATCAAATAAGATCCGATAAAGTAAGATAAAGAGAAATGCTGCTTCCAACATACCTGGAAGCCAAATGATAACAAAAAAAATGTTTTGAAGGTTGAAAACAGCTTCTCAACTTTATCTTCTTATATAGTCCTTTATGTCAAAAATCCTATTGGAGTAAGAAGCAAAGTTTCAAAGGAAAATATGTTCATAGAGTACTCTTTGCAGAGCCAGAAACAGGTACTACTGAAAACCTGATCCTCTCCAAAATGACTTTTATAGTTTTCACCTCTGATGTGTAGGTGCTCTGACAATCTGAATAAGGGTCAGCCTAGTATTTAAGGATGGCAGAACTCTGCCTTCACAAAATTCACCGTAAGTTTGTGAATGCTATTTGTTTATGAGTCCAAGAATTATAGGGAGGAAGAGATCTAAGGAGAGCATCTTGCCCATTTCCCTCTGCCATGGGAATCTTTCAGTGTGACACCCCTAATAGTAACAGCACTTCAGTGGTCATCCGTTGCTGGATAAAACACCAATTACTTCAGCCTTGTCCTAATCATTCATGAATAGGATCTCTACATTTCTTTATTTTTGTCTTTCCTTTAATGTATTTCTAAATCCTTTTGTTTTGTTAAATTTCTCATACTTTATTAGTTGTAATTATTTTGCAAACTAGTTACTTCTGATTTCATGCCTGGTTTCCTGTTTCTTCCACACTGATACACTCACTTATGTTTACAGTACACTCTTGTTTTCACATTTCTGTGGGTTTTGATTTGTTAGATTGTTAGATAGACAACTTCATAAGTCTATTATATGTGTTCTATTTTTCCTCTGCATTGGGATAGACTGTCATTTTCCTTACAACACAAGCTTTGCAAGAAGCAGTCTTCCCACACTCGTTTGTCTCTTAGATTATCTGTCCAAGAGCCCATATCTGTGAGTTCTTTGAGGTTGAAGCAGTCTCATCTTCTCAGCCATGTTGCTGCATTCACCTCTTTTCCTGGGAAAAGTGAGTGCCTCACGTTTTAGTGACAGAGCACCTTCACCTAGATTTCCTTCCTTACTTTCTCTGAAAGCAGTATCTCTTTGTTACTGTAGCATCAAATTGCATGCAGTCTCATATGTGTTAGAGCTGAAGCTCAGAAGAGTGTTCTCCTTTTCCAGATCTTTCTCTTGGTGCCAGGCACACAAATGGTGAAAATGAACACTTCAGAGTAAAGGAAAATTAGGTCCTAAACCACACTTAGGAGGTAACAGAATGCCTTAATAACACAGGTACACTAAATATACAATCACATCAGCAACATAGTTTAGTTATGACCACATAACAAAAAGAAAACAACTCACTATGGAGAGCAAATGCCAACATGGAACACCAAGCACTTTGTCCTTTCAGTATCTGAGCCCTCAGAAAGCCGGGAAGTCTCTGTTGTTTGACTCAAAACACTTTTTTATAAAGACATGATAATTCCTGTCATTTTGTTCCTTTTCAATAAATGTTTTTCTTGCAACTACTCAGACCCTTGAGTGCTGGTCTGTTTTTCATGGTCTATTTTTTCTGGAGGGAGAGGGCTATTATAATGCTTCTTTTCTTTTTCACTAAAACAACAATATTTTTTTCACAGTAATATTAAAGTTCAAAAATGTAATTTCAGGTTTGATGACAGTTTATTATATGAGGGCCACAGTACTAAAATACCAATGCCCTATGGAGGAAGAAGTTGGGTTATCATGACAATCTTTATAAAATGGACTTGCATTTAGCTCAGCTTATTCTTGCAAGTTAGGCAGGTCACTACAACTGATTTGTAACAGTGCTTCCAGAGAAAAAAGATTTCATAACTGTCTTAACTTTCCTGGTATAATTATACCTCATCATGCACATACCTGCAGTGCAATAAGTGAATATTATTTCCTCGCTCCTTGCACAATGAAAGCTCTCGACAGACTACATAGGTACCTTCTACCATTTCACTCACCGTGAGAGATTACTAGCTACCCAGAAGATGATAATCTGTAAAACCTTACATACAGACCTTTGCTATTGAACAGTTATCTGATCAGTCACTGAATACAACAGTAAAATTAAGCTTAATATTTTGCTCATAACAAAGCAAAGCATTACCAGAAACATTTAAAAAGCTATAACAGACAAAACCCCAACAGGATGGGGGGCGGGGAGGGAAGAGAGAAATTTTAGCTCATTTATTCTAGTTCTGGTGAGATAAAGACACCTCTAAGTTAGGAATACTTTAAACTGTAAAGACTAACAAGGGTGATATAATGTGGTACCTCTTTATTATCAAGCAAGATTGCATCAACAGTAATTCAAGTGTCGAGACACCTATCTTGTTTTAAACATTAGCACCGAAAATAACCAGTCTTCAAAGGTCATGTTTATTTAAATATAGCTTGCTTGCATTTTACATTAAAGTTAATTTACTAAACTTAAAAAAAGTAAATGCAAATGTATACAAATAATTTAAGCATACTGTCAAAGTTCACATACGCTAGAGCAATGAAAATATTCAAGGTCATATGAAATCTTTCTTAACCATGTACCATCCTGTGGATTATTCCATTAAATGCACATACTGAACTGATGTGTTTGAACCCTCTCTTTAGCAATGTCTATCCTTCTGAAAAATAAAACCTACAATTTCCTATTTATAATGTGTTTTTCAGGCCATAACAAAGAAGTATACCGTACCTCTGGTGCTGATGGCTGTTGCCGATGTGGTTGTGCTGGTTGTTAAGGCTACAGTGGTTGTGACTGTTGCAGTGGTAAGGGAGGGGATGACAGTAGTGGGAAGCAAAGTGTTGAAAACATCTGGTGAGTGGAAAAAAAATATAAAATAAAATCATATCATGCAAACAAAGGAGAACCATAATAGTGGTTTAATTTGTAAATACAAGTATGTCAAAAATGACTAAATTAAAACATGATTAACATAAATTATTACAGGTACAACAGTGTACCCTTAAATTCTTGACATTACATCACTCTCAATTCTTATAGTCAATCTTCTAACAAACAGAATTTAAAACACTGTTAAAATGTTTCCACAGATCTGGAGAGTGACTGTTTAAGTGACAAGAATCTATTTCTTCACTGAGCCATTTTAAATGTCTCATATAGTAGAAACGATATACGGATGAAACATGCTGTGTCAGAGTGGGAGATGAAAAAAACAACACCACCATCATGCTAAAATAAACACACACATGTTAACAAGAAATGGCTGTATGTTAAAACACCCACTTTCAAACAGACTCAATGGAAGGAAAAATGGGAGAAAATGCTACTAACTATAAGAGCTGCTTTTTCCGGATTGCTTTTCTTCTTCCCACACATTTGTTTAAGACACAGTTGTCTGCTAAGATCCAGAGCAGAGTATATTTCAAAATCTTTACCCTAATTAGTAGGCACAGTCATTTTCAGTCATCCTTAACACTTAAGATTTATTGTTAATACACACATCAGTATTTCTCTAAAATGGTTTAGTACTAAAAAATCAGAAATGCTAATAATATTGCTATTAGAAAAAGCACGTTTATACAAGTTAGAAAAAAATCATAGCCCTGATGACAGCATCCTACAAAACTTTTCAGCTTTTGATCAAGTAAGTGCGGGTATGCCAGGCTTGCATATGTCAGGCTTAGTTATGCTGCTGCTGCGTTGCAGAGGAACTAACAATGTCTGTTGCAAAATGCTCCAGTACAGAGCAGAACATAACCAGATGTACAGATAGAAAATACTTCGATTACATTGCCAAAAGCAATAAAGACCAGTATCACTTTGCTTATAGGTAATTGCAGGTTTTAAAGAACAAACAAACAAAAGCCCTGAAGAGAACGAGAGAAAAGCACTTCCGTGAGGAAATAAAAAGCATCTGACATTTTTCAGATTATTTATACTGCAGGTTTAAAAGGAAAGGAGTAGTTTCTCAGCAGTCGATGGTGAGTAATGCATTCTGCACTGATTTCAGTGAAAATATTTCTGAAGGGTGCTATTCAATGAAATGAAAGAGTAAAAATCCATCTTTCCTTACTGTGGAAAGAAATGCAATTGGTCTCTGAGTACCATCAATTCTGACTGAAATCAATGGAAGCTGAAGTAGCTCAGAGCTTTACAGTACTGGGTTCTACAGAACACATTTCAGACACAGGGTCCTTCAGTTCAGCACTCGTAATTATTCTCTTAAGACTTCAAAATAGCATGCTTACCTTATTTTCATACTGGACGACAGATTATTTTGCAACTTTTTAAGTCTCCTTGTCAGTTAATATCTATGAGTCACTTACAACTTTCTGTATTCCTCTGGGTTTGATACCCAGCACTATTCTTCTCTGGAATCTATACTTGTGGGATTTTCCACTTTCAAAGCCATAGGAAAATGGCATGAGATCCCTGTTTCATCTGTTGTACACTGATATGTAACCTGTTTCTCAGTACAAAATAATCCCAAGTCAGAAATATTAAAACAGACTTTAAAAAATACCACACAGTGTAGCCACATTAATCATCAGGAAAAATGGTGACGTTACCTGAAGCATGAGTACCACGATAATTAAAGAGAACCGAGTATAACAAGCATTAGAAATAAATTAACATGTTAAAAAGATACATGTCACATGTACTGATCTACGCAATTGCTTCTTATAAAGGGAAACTCCTTTCCTGATAAATATCTGCTAAAAATGAAATCAAACAGAAAAAACCTACCTGCTTCATAAGGAGAGCAAAGCCTCGTTTATTGGAAACCTTTACGTATCAGTCTTGTACGTAAAACCTAATTAGTGTGACTTACAATTCCATTAATTATCTTTCTTAAATATGTCATTTACTTAAGACTAAGCAATCGCAAGTTAACTGCAACTGGCAAATACAGTTATGGCTTCATGACAGTGCTTTCCATTCTGCAAACACACTGTCCACTCATTTTACCGCATAATAGCTTAAATGAATCACTGGTGAATTCAGAAACTCATTGCTTTCTGGTTTCTCTTCCAATTGAAGTATTTCCAACAAGATTTCTTATTTTTTAAAAAAGGCTACCTAGGAAAAAGACTAGTTAACAAGAACTACGATATATCAGTTTTTTTAACACAGATGTCTTAATCTTTTCTGATCAGATTGAGAATAATGAAAACTTGTGCAGAAATTAGTTTCCTGATCAAAGTCACAAATTCTGATGCCAAACATCAAAATGGCAGAGGCCTCAAAGAAAAACACATGTTCTCAAAAGAAACATAAATACAAGCAATAGCATTGGCTTTGTTTCCTTCTCAGCAGAGTAAGGTGAAATTCGCCATGCAAATGACTGCAGTTGGGCTGCTTTGCTCACAGCATTACAATTACTTGCTCTCAAAGACTACAGCACAAGTTAGCAACCAGGAATCAGCAGTCTGAAGAGCCCAAGCAATGAAATCTAAGTCTGCTCTGGACTCTAGAAATGCCTGGTTCATAACTGCTTATCTTCGAGGCTCTGCCCTGTAGAACCACTTCTTTAATGACATGAGAGTGTGCAACAGGAATGTATGTGGAAAGTAGCTCACAGCTCTCCAGACAACACATTCTGGAACTCCTGTACCATATCCCACCCTTAAACTTCATTTTGAGTTGGTCCAAATCCAGGCACTGATTAGCATTCTGAAATCACCTGACCTCATATTCAAAGAACTTATGTGTACAGGGCCACCAGTTCTACTGAGTCTCTGTGACAGAAAGGTTATGTATCAGTTCTTCCACAAAGGTTTATGGATTTTTGTGAAAACTTTACTTGTCTTTGTCTTGAAAATGCTTCTGCATAAGAGAATGCAGAATATGCATTTCCAAAAAAAAGAGAAGTGCAGTGCCCTTCGTTCTCTCATCATGTATTTTAGGTGTAGGAGGTAAGTGGGTTTGGTAGTTCCCAAAATCAGACAGAATACAAGTTTAAACTGATAATCAACAGCCCAGGTTTCTGTTTAAGTCATATGAATCACTTTGATTTAGAGAGGGAGGGCTGTTTCATTAGCATTCCAGGAAAGGGAATTACAATTTGACCTGTCTGTAGTCCTGTAGGACTTTTTCGTCATTGTTTTTACTGCAGGGCACACTTATCTTACACTACTGGTGAGGCACACATTACACTATCCAGAGCTTCCCATTGGCAGCTGCTCAGAAACACACTATCAAAGGACTATGTAGATTTGTACTCTTGAACACCCTGTCAAGAAAGACCTTAACAGAGTGAATTTGCACATTTCTGTCCAACGAACTTGTGTTGGAGTGAAAATTTCATTTTCTGGCCCTGCAATTTCTGATTCTAGTTGTACACAATGTTCAGCTGAAAACAATTTTTGTTTATGACTCTCACACCACTAAATAGTGAGAATCATTATGACCAAGAGGCCTTGTAGAGTGGAAATTTTAATTCAAGTAGCCATACCCAAATCAATGCACCAGATTGCTATTTCAGTAATACCAAGGTATTAATCCTTAGGCTCCTTTGAAGCAGAAAATAGCTATATGTTGCAGATGGGGAATGAAAGCAGATAGAAAAGCCATGTTCAGAGATCTAGAATTCAAGTGATAATTGACACCATTAATTTTGAAACCTCACTGCTAAAATGAACGTTTGTTGACAGACATTCAGTCAAAAATTCAATAATGCATTTAAGTTCTTATCCATTTCATCACCTTGCTATCTCTGAAATACAAACAATTCACAGAGAACTAATTGTTTCCATAAATGTCGTTGGAAATAGAAAAGGGGTAACACTTCATGCCAAGGGCAGTTACTGACTTTAGTCCCAACTTTTTTTCCCATATGTTCCCACAGGTTATATGGGCAAGACATGAATTGGACTTTCAGTGAGAGATGGGCTCCTAACCTTTATCTAGCAGCACAGAGGATTTAAGCTGAGCTGCAAATGCTCAGCCAAGAATTCTTTTTTCAGTGAGGACCTGATGTAAAGTCATGGTTCAGGGGATGCAGAGAAAAGCATGGGGAAGATTTTAGAAAGGCATTCTTCATGGCCACTACTGTCTGTCAGCATGCCATCAAGCTACACAAGCACTGGCAAGGTGAAGGCAGACAGCAGGTACTCTAATGGCTGATTGCAAGCGGACAGTGGAAAAAGGAGGAGTATGCAATGCTTGGCTTGGTCTGGAAGCTGCTCTTTAGCAGAGGCACAGATGTAGTCTGTTTATGAGTGGCAGAATAGTGTTGTAAAAGGTTGGCTAAAACCACTGCCAAGCCTTGCCTGATCAAAATTTCCTGTTTGCCTCTCCTTTCTTGAATTGATGCTGCATTCTTCTTACTAAGGCAGAAGACATTCATCCATTTAAGTGCAGGGAGCCTGGATAATTTACTCTCGCTGCCAATTCGGCCCTAAGCATTTTTACTCTCTATTTCCAAAGAAATGAGAAATGGTTCTGTTTGGTTTAGCGAGCTTATGTGAAAGATAGATCTGACCTATTGAAAATATTTGACTTGTCTGGTAAAAACACAACCGATATTCTGAAATGACTGAGCACAACTCAGACAACAATAGCTGCAGTTGATAAAAATGTAAAGGCTTTTGTTTCAAGCTTGACAAAGACTGACAGAAAAATTAAAGGACAAACTGATAATGATGGATGGCTCTTGCTAAATTTTGACTGAGAATGAAAGAAATTTTAAGTGGTAAACTGAACTGAGTGATGACCTACCTGGGAAACAATCTCACTACTCTGTGCAAAATTTAATCAGTCCGAGGTATGTAGTACTAAATAATTTAGCAAGGTTTTAAATTCAAAGGGAGCTGCATTTAGCCTTGCTCCAAGAAAATAGGATTGAACAA